TATTTCCATTCTTTTGTATTTGCTGAGGAGTGTTTTACTTCCAGTTATGTGGTCAATTTTGGAATAAGGGCTATGTGGTGCTGAGAAGAATGTATATTCTGTTGATTTGGGGTAGAGAGTTCTGCAGATGTCTATTAGGTTTGCTTGGTCGAGAGCTATGTTCAACTCCTGAATATCCATGTTAATTTTCTCTCATTGATCTGTCTAATATTGACAGTGGGGTGTTAAAGTCTCCCATTATTATTCAGTGGGAGTCTAAGTCTCTTTGTAGGTCTCTAAGAACTTGCTTTATGAATCTGGGTGCTCCTGTATTGGGTGCATATATATTTAGGGTAGTTAACTCTTCTTGTTTCATTGGTCCCTTTACCATTATGTAATGCCCTTCTTTGTCTTTTTTGATCTTTACTGGTTTAATGTCTGTTTTATCAGAGACTAGGATTGTAACCCTGCTTTTTTTTTTTTTTTTTTTTTTTCCATTTGCTTGGTAAATATTCCTCCATCCCTTTATTTTGAGCCTATGTGTGTCTTTGCACATGAGATGGGTCTCCTGAATACAGCACACTAATGGGTCTTGACTCTTTATCCAATTTGCCAGTCTGGGTCTTTTAATTGAAGGGCATTTAGCCCATTTACATTTAAGGTTAATATTGTTATGTGTGAATTTTATCCTGTCATTATCATGCTGGCTGGTTATTTTGCCCGTTAGTTGATGCAGTTTCTTCATAGTGTCAATGGTCTTTCTAATTTGGTATGTTTTTGCAGTGGCTGGTACTGAATTTTCCTCTCCATAGTTTGTGCTTCCTGGAGGAGCTCTTGTAAGTCAGGCATGACTGTTACAAAATCTCTCAGCATTTGCTTGTTTGTAAAGGATTTTATTTCTCCTTTGCTTATGAAGCTTAGTTTGGATGGATATGAAATTCTGGGTTGAACATTCTTTTCTTTAAGAATGTTGAATATTGGCCCCCACTCTCTTCTGGCTTTTAGGGTTTCTGCTGAGAGATCTGCTGTTAGTCAGACCACAGTGCAATCAAATTAAAACTCAGGATTAAGAAACTCACTCATTTTTTCCTTCATTTGAACCTTGGTGAATCTGATGATTATGTGTCCTGTGGTTGCTCTTCTCAAGGAGTATCTTAGTGGTGTTCTTTGTATTTCCTAAATTTGGATGTTGGTCTATCTTGCTAGGTTGAAGAAGTTCTCCTGAATAATATCCTGAAGGGTGTTTTCCAACTTGGTTCCATTCTCCCGATCACTTTCAGGTACAACAATCATACGTAGGTTTGGTCTTTTTACATAACCCCATATTTCCTGGAGGCTCTGTTCATTCCTTTTCATTCTTTTTTCTCTGATCTTGTCTTCGTGCTTTATTTCATTAAGTTGATCTTCAATCTCTGATATTCTTTCTTCTGTTTGATCAATTCAGCTATTGATACTTGTGTATGCTTCACGAAGTTCTCATGCTGAGTTTTTCAGCTCCATCAGGTCATTTATGTTCTTCTCTAAACTGGTTATTCTAGTTAACAATTCCTCTAACCTTTTTTCAAGGTCCTTAGCTTCCTTGCATTTAGTTAGAACATGCTTCTTTAGCTTGGAGGAATTTGTTATTACCCACCTTCTGAAGCCCACTTCTGTCAGTTCGTCAAACTCATTCTCCATCCAGCTTTGTTCTCTTGATGGCGAGGAGTTGTGATCCTTTGGAGGAGAAGAGGCATTCTGGTTTTTGGAATTTTCAACCTTTTTACACTGGTTTTTCTTCATCTTTGTGGATTTATCTAGCTTTGGTCTTTGATGTTGGTGACCTTCGGATGGGGTTTTTGTGTGGATGTCCTTTTTGTGGATGTTCATGCTATTCCTTTCTGTTTGTTGGTTTTCCTTCTAACAGTCAGGCCCCTCTGCTGCAGGTCTGCTGGAGTTTGCTGGAGGTCCACTCCATACCCTGTTTGCATGGGTATCGCCAGCAGAGGCTGCAGAACAGCAAAGACTGCTGCCTGTTCCTTCCTCTGGAAACTTCATCCCAGAAGGGCACCTGCCAGATGCCAGCCAGAGCTCTCCTGTATGAGATGTCCATTGACCCCTGCTGGGAGGTGTCTCCCAGTTAGGAGGCATGGGGATCAGGGACCCACTTAAGGAGGCAGTCTGTCTCTTAGCAGAGCTTGAGCACTGTGCTATGAAATCCGCTGCTCTCTCCAGAGCTTGCAGGCAGGAATGTTTAAGTCTGCTGAAGCTGTGCCCACAGCTGCCCTTTCCCCCAGGTGCTCTGTCCCAGGGAGATGGGAGTTTAACTGTAAGCCCCTGAGTGGGGCTGCTGCCTTTCTTTCAGAGATGCTCTGTCCAGAGAGGAGGAATCTAGAGAGGCAGTCCGGCTATAGCAGCTTTGACGAGCTGCTGAAATTTATTCAGCATTTCAAGTTGTTTGCAGTTATAACTTCCAGGCAGCTTTGTTTACACTGTGAGGGGTAAACCACCTACTCAAGCCTCAGTAATGTCAGCCACCCCTCCCCCCACCAAGCTTGAGCATCCCAGGTCTACTTCGGACTGCTGTGCTGGCAGTAAGAATTTCAAGCCAGTGGATCTTAGCTTGTTGGGCTCCATTGGGGTGGGATCCACTGAGCTAGACCACCCATCTCCCTGGCTTCATCCTCCTTTCCAGGGGAGTGAACAGTTCTGTCTTGCTGCTGTTCCAGGCACCAGTGGGGCATGAAAAAACAAAAAAACAAAACAAACAAACAAACAAAAAACTCTTGCAGCTAGCTCAGTGTCTGCCCAAACAGCTGCACAGTTTTGTGCTTGAAACCCAGAGCCCTGGTAGCATAAGCACCCGAGGGAATCTCCTGGTCTGCTGGTAACAAAGACCATGGGAAAGCATAGTATCTGGGCCATAGTGCACCATTCCTCATGGCACAGTCCCTCAGGGCTCCCTTGGCTAGGGGAGGGAGTTCCCCACTGTCTAACCAGTACTAATGAGATAAGCTGGGTGCCTCAGTTGGAAATGCAGAAATCACCTACCTTCTGCGTTTATCTCGCTGGGGGCTGCAGACTGGAGCTGTTCCTATTCGGCCATCTTGCCAGCCACACTCTCTCTTTGTTTTTTAGGAGCTTTATTATGATGTTCCTTTATTATGGTGTGGTTTACTTCATAGTTTTCTATGTGGAATTCACAACTCTTCTTGAATCTATGTCTTGATGTTTTTCAGCAGTTTTGGAAAATTATCAGCCATGTCTCTTCCAATATTGCTTCTTCCCCATTGTCTCTTTTTTTCTTCTTCTAAGATTGTGATTACACATTTGATATTTTCATTATTTCTTATATGTCTCTTATCCTCTGTGCTTTCCTTTGCTTTGTTTCTCTATACTTTTTTCTGAATATTTTCACTGACTCATCTTCTAATTTACTAATTCTATTTTTGGCTATGTCTAATTGGCTCTTAAACCCACACATTGATTTTTAAATTGACTTTTAAATTCATTTATTGCATTTCTACCCTAGAATTCCAATTTCATTATTTTTCTAGATTCCAGTTCTATACCAATTCTCTTTACATTGTCCTTTTAGTTAGAATATTTATCATAGTTACTTAAAGGTCCATGTCTGATAATTCTAATAAATGTCTCTCCTATAGGTCTGTTTTATCTTATTTTTTCCTGGGTTTTTTTTTTTGTTTTTTTTTTCTTCTCTTCAGTTTTTATCATTTGCCATTGCCTCCTGGAAGGTGTGGTAATATTTTATTAAATGCTAACATTGTATATGAAATATTTTAGCAATACCTTTATGCTTTTGATGATGTTATCTCCCTCCATATAGTATTTATTTTGCTTTCAGTGTACTATTAGCCTAGGAAAACTGCTTTAATATAACAAGGGATCCAACTGACATGACAGTTTGTTTCAGTAACTGGAAGGACTTACTGTGTTCATTATTGATTTCAATTTGTATCCCTTTAGGGATCCCAACTGAAAGCCTGGTTGTTTACCAGGTCCCTGACACATTCACAGATTCTAATACCTAATTTTTGTCCCCTCGGTCCCATGGAACTGCCAAAAGCAGCCCTCAGTTTCTCAATTTTGTTGACCTGGATAGGAAAGGCAGCACCAAATTTCAGGCTCCTCTCCTGGTTCTTTTATCATCTTGACAATCTTGAACTCTCAATTTTTGACTGGCTTATAGCTCTCCAATGTCATCAAAATGATTTTTAAAATTTATTCAGCATTTCAAGTTGTATTTCCTGAGTAGACTTCTAAAAGCATAATTTCTTGGTCAAAGTTACAAACATTTTAAAACTCTAAAACATTTTTGCCCTATTGCCTCCAGAAATATTTGGCTATCTATAGTCTAATAATTAGGCTTGGTTTTAAGTGACTATCAATAACTTTACTTTTTTTAATTTGAGAAAAACATGAAAATATTTTTATCCTGGAAAATATTTTTCTCCATCCATCCAGCCATAAAATTTTATTAATGGAATTTTTACTTTATTCTTCACACACGGCAAAAGATCTCTTTGGGCCTGATTCAAAATATATTAAACTTCACTCATAAAGATATTTTATTCCTAGGAACATGTTTCCATTTATATCAAACAGGGAGTTCCCATGAAATTCATGTTGTAAACTTAAATGCAATTGCTTCAATAATTGCTGAAATAAAGGTCTGGTGGGCAAAGCCTAGGAAGCAGAAAAGTAACTTAAAGTTTTGCACATGGTCCGACATTTCAAACATACATGGGTGGCATGACACTTTCCATGCATCTTCTGTTGCCACCCATTAGGAATACACCTAATTGAACATGTTAATAAGAGTCCGTACGTGGCTTGATTCAGCTCAGGAGAGGTAGAAAAACCCAAGTTCTGAGCTTTGTAATGACAGAAACAAATGCTGTATGGCCTCTTAAGAAAGCTACAAGAATATGAGGTAGTTTAGGGTACCTCAACCAGAGAGGCTAACTTCAAATTACCAGACACATCTATTATGAAGTGTTGAAAGGAAAAAGAAAAACAAATAATAAAGTTACAAAATAAAGTTTATTTTATCAAAATTAAAACGGCTTCCTTCCCTCCACTTCAGAGTAACCTTGAGATGGAACAGTCTGAGGATTACATTGCTATAATCCCTTAGCAGTTAGTTCCACAGCAGGAGGTGCCTGCTACAGACAAAATTATAGGGTTAGGAATGTTCACAATTCAGTGACCCGATTGGCTGACTATTCCTTAGAGCTTTAGAATCAAATATTTATACATCTAAATGGGAGCAAAGAAAGGAAAATGGTTCATAAAGAGAGTCCCAGAGCATGTATTATTGAAATAACAGATGGAAATATTATATTTTTGAAACATTCTTTCTATAAAGAAGTCTTTTGAAGTGTGTTTTGGTAGGATAAGCTGAGCCAAAAGTGGAGCAGAGTGAGAGAAAAAAATAAGGTTTTATATTCAAATGTTTGGTGTCAGCAGAGTATAAAGTTAGCACTTCCCAAAAAAGGCATGTCCCAAAAAGCACTGCAGCACAATGTGTTTGCTCTACTTCACATAACAGTCCCAGAGGAGAAATATTTCAAAATACATTTTACCATCACTGCTCAGTTTGTGTGTGGACTCTCCCAAAACTTGACCTCTGACATCTTTGCAGAGGGTGTATGATCTCCCACCATTGAATTTTTTATGTTTCCTAAAATGACTGAAACCTAAGCTAAGACTCAGTCATTATCTTGAAAAAGGTGTTGGCTACCTCATACTTGCTGAGAGTTGGGTAAGAAGTATATTTAAATTGTAGGTTTTATGCCACATGGACAATAGTGATTGGTCATCTAGGCAGGGCTTACAGACTAAAAATGGAGACATGCAGAAAGCAAGAAAGTAGGCAGAAGGCCAGATGAAAAATTCATCACACTTTCTTTATTTTCCTGTACATGGGAGCCTGTACCCATGACGGAACTAACAATTCAGAATTATTCTGTTGTCTTTCCAGAAAAAATATCCCATTACTAAGCAATCAATTTGAAGTGCCCCATGGCCAGTCCAATTTCTCCATCATTTAGCTCTGAGGACATGGTTCACTTATCCTGCTAGTCTCAGCTATTAGCTGGATCTGCCATATGATGATGTGATTTATTTCATGGCAACTGGTAGTCACTCTGGTTGAAAAAAGAAAAAGAATCCACAGGAACACAATGATTTTGATCTTGTATCCAGACAAGATTTATATCTGTGACAGAGATCTGAATGCAATTCCTACTTGAGTCATTCTTAGGGGAAACAAAAGGAAGAGTAGCCTGGGAGAAGGACTACTGGCTGGGATGTAAGAAATGAAGGAATTGCTGGTTCTCTTTCCTTCAGTACCCTGTTAAGTCCAGGGTATTGATAGATTCACATCAGGTGATCTAGGTATTGATAAGAGTTTGGGGATGTGGTGTTTGTATACAGGCCCTCAGCACCAAACAATAGTCAGTTGGCAAAGGGCATAAATCCAGTAACCTATGGCCTCTGAAAATTCAGAATTGAGTAACCATATGGCAACTTCTAACTTCTGCCAAAAGAAAGAAACAAGAAAGAGAAAAAGAGACAGTAACTCACTTGCACCCACCAGTGAGGCCACCTCAGAGCAAAGAAAAAAAATGCTTTAGTGATGGCTTCTTGGGTGACAGCATCTGTTCAGGGAGTTGACTCAGAGAGCCTCAGAAGCTCAGGGTTCCAGCCAGGAGCAGAAAGGACTCTTGGCAGAGCTATTTCCTGTACCTCTTTTGATCATAAAGCTCAGTTTTGGAAAGGTTCTCACCAGTCTTGTGGTTTCCTGGTCGTGCGTCAGTACATTCTGGCTGAAACACTTCCCTTCCTTCAGGCCAGCCCCTCTGCCAATGGCTCCCAGTTCTATGGTTCACTCTCTTCAGCTTTGAACTAGACTCCAAGGACACTGCTGGCTGCAACATAAACCTTGAATGAGAGTTTGCAGCTGGGATGGTAGCCCTCCCCTCCTTGTGATGGGGATCCTAAAAAGAAAAAAATAAGGGTAAAACCAAAAGTCCATAGAAGCATAGAATTTTAGAATCAATGAGTAGTCAGCATACAATCTCTTTTCCAATATAGTATGCAATAGAGTCACCTGGGCAACTGGTTAAAATACAGAGATTCTTACTCCAACCTCAGACCTTCTAAATGAGAATCTTTAAGTAGAAAGTGGGAATCTGTGTTTTCAAGAATCTCCTTGGCAATTCTTACGTAGTCACTGTATAGTATAATTTACCAAGTTTTGTAAATTAGGAAACCTAGGTACAGAAACATTAATTAACTTTGTCATGGTAAAATAGGTGGCCTAAATCTCACGTTGTGCTCTTTCTATTGTACCACATTGTTCTCTACTCTTCTTTCTTGTGATTCTGTAATCGGGCTTGGGTCTCGTGCTTCCTAATCATGCACTCTTCCTGTGATGTATTTCTCTAAAAAATAACTCAGTCTGTTTATATAAGGTCATTTTCAAATCCCACTACCCTCAAACACAGGCCGTATTAGACAAATGTGTAAGCTCAGAACAGCTATTAGAAATGGTAATGTTCTTATTCATCTGTTCCTGGTGAGAAGGTATATATGATGTGACCAGGGACACTGGCAGTTTGGATAGCTCACATATGCCCTCCCCCACAAACCAAAATAAAAAGGAATTCTTCAGACACTTTAGTAAGTGATAATTATATACAGTCATTCAAAGTTTTCAGGGTTATTTATAGAACAAAGTTTCTGCTGGATGGCTTGGGTATGCTACAAAGTAGAAATGGTTAAGCGGAAGACCAAAAGATTCTGCAGTGAAAATGGGTTATTTTTCTCTAGAAACTTAATGGTATTAGAAACTGTAAATTTTGCAATGGATCAGAACCATCATAAGCTGAAAGGAGCCCTAAGGATGATATATGTTTCATCATTCCCATGCTTATAGACCAGAGTGTGAACTGTGCCAGGACTCACAGACTAGCTCAGAGAAGTCATAATACCATGTGATTAAGTACTTCATGGTATATGCATAGAGGAAACTTTTAAAATAATGCAAGAATAAAATTGTGGTTGACACTGCAACTTTTGGAGTCAGATAGATCTGAATCAAAATCCCAGATCTACTACTCACCAGCTGTGTAGACTTGAGGAAGTTTTTAAATTTCTTTACGTCTTAATTTCGTCCTCTATAAAATGAAACCTGAGAGGGCTCTCAAGAACATTAAAGCATGAGAGTGGGAAGAATGTATTGGGGAGGGGGTGATGGGTTTTGGAAGAAAACAACAGACAAAGCGAGAAATATAGGTAAACCAAAGTTATCCAAGGAGAAATACAAAGTTATCCAAGGAGTAACAAACTAAAAATATTTGTATGATAATTAACCTAAAATATTAATGTGAGTTTTGACACCAAATCCCATGAGTCCTGTGCCCACATTAGGATATGTAAAGATTGTCAAATATGGATAACATACACGTATTGTATAAGCCCCATGAAATTAGGGAGTTTTATATGTTTGTTCGCTCCCATGCTTTCTGCTCAGTTATGGAATGAATGAATAGGTTGGTAGGATCTAAAAAGAGCCAAAGTCTTGATACCTTGACAAGAGAGGAGGTCAATTAATATGTAATGAATATATAAATACCTCTGAGCCTTCTGGGTGACTGCCTATCCTGTGTGCAGTTATGTGTGCCAAGTCTCTGCCATACAGCCAAGAAATGAAGGTTAGGTTCTGTTGTAAGAACAAAGTAGATTCCCTGTTGTGATGCTAAAATGTCTTAAACTCTGCTTCAATACCAATGAACTTCGGGAACACCTGCTTAGATAAAAGTTCTAATATTAGTAACAAATTGCTTAATACTTGATATTATCTCAAATCAGATGCCACATCAAGAAAGCCATAAGTTTTCCTGAACATTTCCAAAACATTGCTACAATATAATGGAGACTTGGTGAAAAGGTGTTGGAAGTAAACCATAATTTAATAAATCCTTCTTGTATTACAGATGAAGTCCAAAGCCATTAAACTGGCAGAAAAAAAAGTGAGGAGAGAAGAAGGGGGAGGTTAGTAGAAAGAAGGAAGGAATGAAAGAAGGAAAAAGGAAGGTAGACCAGCAAAGAGAGTATAGGATCATATACTTAAACAAAAATATAAGTAAACTAAAACTTGCAGTTATTTTTTAATGTATATTCCCTTAACATATCATTACCTTAAGTTAAATTAGTCACTATAAAATGAGTCAAAGTGTTGCGAAGAACAAGAGTAATTCCCTCTTCACAGCTCATTGATATGTACCTAGTGCCTTGGTAGTGGAAGTGGTGCAGCATGCTGGTTATGAGCTCAAACTTGGGGTCATGGAGATGAAGATTGGCTCTGCCTCTCACTAGTTCTGTGACTTCAAAGAAGCCACTTATGCTGACTGAGCCTCAGTTGTTTTTGTTTTTTTGTATAAGGGATATAAGAATATATACCTCATAGATTTGTATAAAGACAGTTTTGATAATAAATCCCAAAACATGGTACACAAGGCTCAACAAATGGTAACTACCATTTTCATCATCATCACTAATATTCTTGACATCTTGAAACATCTCAATATCTGAGATCCTGAAATCTCTGTTTTATTATTTAAAAATGTATTATGTGTGTTGGTATGGAGAATGGGGCTGCGAAATGTATTTATTGCTGGAGCTCTTGGGAGAAAGATCTAAAACGCTGTACCCCTGTGGCAGTTGAGATGACTATACTTAGCTTTTATATGTATCCTGTGCTCACTAACTGCATGCAAGTTTTTCTATCCTTTGTATTCGACCTTCTGGTTACACACAATAGATTTTACCTTTTGCTGATGAAGCAACTAAAGGAAAGAAAAATGAAATACTTGGCCTGGGATCATAAGATGAGCCATAATTATCTTAATTCCCCAAATCCCAGTCCTGCGTTTAGCCAAACAAACTGGAGTTACCATGGGGTAAAACAATGAGTCAACCACAGAGATATTTGGGACAATTTTAAGACAATCCAAATACACTTTGCATTTCTTAGTTTGTATTATACAAAAAAAAAAGTAAACTGAAACAGAGGAATGGAGAATACAAGGCTGTGTAGTAAAAATAGTAAGGAGTCTTTTAGATTCTACTGTAAAAACAAAGTAGATTTGATTCATGAGCTACAAGAAGATTATTCTGCCAAAAGAGAACCAAAAGAATGAGGTAAGTTTTAGAGAAAAAATGATTAACATAGTCTGTGTGGTTACTAAGGTTGTTGCATGGAGACTTAAAATATTTAAATGAAATAAGAAATTCTGAGAGGCCAGAGAGTAGAATAGAAGAACACAGAAATAAGAGTAAGGAGGCCTGGCTCTGTTCATCATGAATTGAACTGCTTTTTGGAGATCACATATTTGCTAAAATGGGGATATCTATCCTAACCCTAAAGAATGGTTATGAAGATATAAAAACAAAATACTAGTTTTTTAAAAACTAAAAATAATATGCACACTAGGTATTATTGAAACTTACTTATTAGGAAACATTGCTTATTTCATATGACCACCCCTGTCTCCACCAGAAGAAACCCTGGAAAAAAATGTAGCCTTGAATCCCATTCTCCTTTACCCATAAGTAGACATGTATTAAATACTAATTCTGGATATTGTAAAGGATTCAAAGACCTACAAAACATGAATTCTGCCCTTCAAAAATTTAGTTGGAGTATAAAACATAAAAGGTATATAATTACAGAAAGATAAATTATTTGATAAAGATAAATCACAGTTTGATAAATTGCTAAAAGATTTCCACAAAAGACTACCATAAAAATTTTTTCATGTTGATGAAAACTAAAATGGTTAAAGGGAGAAAAATAAAAGGAAGTTGAGTTTGTGATAAGACATGGAAGAATTAAATTGTTAAAATGAAAGTGTGTTTTTTTAATATCATAATGAAAAGTTAAACATTCATCCTACAGAAATTGAGGAAAGTCTAAAAAATATTTTAGTAAAAATGAATCTTTTGGAAGACTCATCTAGCACTGGTGGTTTGGATAAGGAATAAAAGCAAGGAGGCTCATTAGGAGACATTTGTGATAATTCGAATACAGGAACAAGTGCCTGAAATACAGTTATGGCTGTAGGAATTAAAATGAAACAAGTATATGAGAAATTTTTAGAGAGATTTCTTACGGAAACAGTCTACAAAATCTGACATTTGATTCAGTGAATAAAGTAAAAATCAGGATACAAATCAGACAAAAGAGACTATGGTTTTAAGCCTCAGTTCAGAAAAACATGGTCCTACCTATAGATATAGAATGTCACAAGGAGAATGTTTTGCTATTATAACATTTAAGAATAAAATTTTCAGCACAATACTTGGGGAGTAGTAATAGCTCTAAAAATTACTACTGTCAGATATACTTAGAGATGTCTCAGTAAATCAAGGGTAGGTTAGAGAAAATCAGAGACCTGGAAACACAAATTCCAATAGTCTGCAAATATGCTATCTACCTTGTGGACTGGGCATTATCCACTGTGACATAAGCAGACATATCAAGTTTACATGGCCTTAGAAAAGTGAATAGTTAAATTTGCTTAGGTGTTATCAAAGCCTAAGTGTTGTAGTGTCTTTCAGAGCATGTGGGATGTGTATCAATAGATTATCTCTTCTTACAGTACATTCTAAGAATGATGATGTATTCTCCCAATAATTCACAACAAAAACTTGAATAATTGTGGTCAGCAGAATAATAGTTCCCCAAAGATGTCTATTTCCTAACCCCTGGGACCTTGAATATGCTACTTTACATTGTAAAAGGGTCTGCAAAGATGATAAATGTAAGGATCTTGTGATGGAAGATGACACTGGATTATCCAGTTGAGCTTACTATAATCACAGGTCCTTTTAAGTGAAAGAAGACAAGAAAGTCAGAGTTAGAGAGAGATTTGAAAATGCTATGCCTCTTAATTTGACGATTAAAAAAGTGGCTATGAGCCAAGGAACGCAGGCAACCTGTAAAAGCAAATAAACAGATTCTCTCTCCCTAGAACCCCTAAAAGATAGGCAGCCCTTTCAACACCTTAATATGAGTCCAGTAGGACTTTGCAGGACTTCTGACCTACAGAATTCTAAGGTAATAAATTTGTATTCTTCAAAGCCTCACTTGCTACAGAAAAAATAGGAAATTCACACAATAATATTACGTATATTTGTTGAATAATACATGTTAATTGTTGAAAATTAAAAGTCTATAAAAATAATATTTTTAACAATACAATGACCAAATTTACTTATCTGGCACTGACAGAATAACATGTACCTGATTTGTCTTCTTATAAACAACTAGAAACTCGACAAAATGTGAGAAACAACTCTTTTCAGATATATGACTGTATTCTCTACAAGAGAGTAGGAAAATGAAGTGAGCTCTACAATCCCCCAGCTGTCTCCCTGAAAACACTTTTGAGACCACATTTGAAATTCCAGCCATCCAGAGGGAAGAGACTTTTTAGAACATCTGTACCATACAACAGAGACTCAAGAAATATTGTACCTTAGTTGCAGGACTAAACTAGCTCCAGAAGACAGGCAACTCTAGACCTGCACTGAGAA